CTGTGAATTGTGTAACACTGTTGAATCACAGACCTGTACCTCTGAAATAATACATTATATGTTAAAAAAAGAAGAAGAAGAAGAAGAAGAAAAAGATAGCAGGAAGGGAAGAATGAAGGGGGGGAAATCAGAGGGGAAGACGAACCATGAGAGATGATGGACTCTGAGAAACAAAGTGAGAGTTCTAGAGGGGAAGGGTGTGGGGGGATGGGTTAGCCTGGTGATGGGTATTAAAGAGGGCATGTACTGAATGGAGCACTGGGTGTTATACACAAACAATGAATCATGGAACACTATATCAAAAACTAATGATGTAATGTATGGTGATTAACATAACATAATAAAAGGGAAAAAAAGCAGCTGTACCATTATACATCCCCACCAGAAATGTATGAGGTTTCTAATAGGTATCCTAGTGGGCGGGAAGTGATATCTCATTGTGGTTTTGATTTGTATTTTCCTAATGACTAATAATGTTGAGAATCTTTTTATGTGTTTGTTATAATTTTTATTATGTCTTCTTTGGAGAAATACATATTCAAATCCTTAAAAAAAATGGAGAAAGATATTTCAGGAAGAAAGCAAAGGCACAAATGAGCAATAGCATGGAGATTTAAAAGAACATGGCTTATCCAGAAGCTAAGGAAAATCAGTTTTGCGTGGTGACGATGAGATGCAACAATAAATATCTAGAAAAAAGCAATTTGATATTATTCTGAAGCAGAAGTCTCAAACTCTCTTGGTTCACAGAGCCCTTAGCATCTCAGTAATTTTGCACAGTGTACATAGGTCAAAGAAAATCTTTAACAATTCATTTTTTAAATAATTAGGAGCAAAGAATTTAACATCTTATATCCTAATTATTTAATACCTTATGGGCACCAGCATGTGCTGGTCTAAATATATTTATTGATTTAAAAAATTATAAACAATCAAATACAAAAGTAAGAAATGTATTCTCACCAACACACTTAGGAAGTTCAGTCCATGTTCCATCAGTACAGGTAATTACATTATTTCCAATCATCGTATATGTATCTCTGCAATTCAGCTCCACAGAAACACCATGTTGAACGGGAAGAATAGAGAACTGGGCATAGCCATTGTTGAGGTGAGGTATGGAGCCACATGCTTTAACTTGTCCTAAGAAAATGTAATAAAAGATCTTGCTTTTAAAATATTTTAAATCTTTTTATATATGTATTTATATATAAGTGCAAAGTTTAAACTGTTCTGTTTAAATATTAACATCAATTTACCAACGCAAGTGGGCAAATGTGTCCATTCTCCATTGATGCACTGTACTTTCTTTGGCCCTGTCATTAGAAAATGGGGAGGGCACTCATATTCCACCACCTCACCGTGTCCATATTGTTCTTTCCTTCTCTGTTTTATTTTACCATTGGGGAGTTGAGGAGGTTGACCACATGACTGTACTTTCCCTATCATAAAAAAAAAAAGATATTTAAATAATGCTTAAAGAGTCTAATGAATCTGGCAAAATGTGGAATTACTGTTTTGGTTGACTTAGAACTAAATTACATTTATGCTAAATTCCTATTTTTTTCAGGTTTGCTTTTTACCATGTACATAGTGTATTAAGTATTCTTTTTCTCAAATATTGACTTTTTATTATAAACAATTCTGAACAAATTAAAGAAAAATGAACACATATACTGATCACCTAGATATATATTAATGTTACCTTTTGCCCAATTTAATTTTTTTAGCGAAGTAATTTATTTATTTAAGATTTTACTTATTTGAGAGAGAGAGAGAGCGCAGGGTGAGAGAGAGAGAGAGAGAGAGAGGGCACAAGCAGGGGGAGGGGCAGAGGGAGAAGCAGACTCTCCATTGAGCGGGGAGTCTGATGCCAGGCTTGATCCCAGGACCCTGGGATCATGACCTGAATGGAGACACTTAACCGACTGAGCCACCCAGGTGTCCCAAAGTAATTTAATGAGAGACATAGTAAAATTTTACTTCTAAATTCTTCAGAATGCCTATCTAAGAAATAAGGACATTGACCTGCATATACAAAACACCTTGTTGCATTTCTTTAACAATAATTTTTAGTGCCATCTTACATTTTTTTCTATATGTAACTATTCTGATTGTCCCAACCCCCAATATTTTGCAGGTTATTATGCCAGGATATTAATTGTGCCCTGAAGATTTTAAAGTAGTTCAATAATCTGGATATCATATAAAAGTAAGTAGTTATTGAATATGTGGTATGATATATATATGCAAATTATACTTATTACATGTTTTTATTAATATCTATAAATATATAAAATAATTTTATCAAATATTTTTAAAAAGTAATGTCATCTGAAGCAAGTAACAAATCATTGGTTTATATTGAATAATTCATATGTTTATTTGATTACTTCTTGATTACTTAATAAAATATAACAAGACCCATACAATATTTTTTCAAGTATAATTTTTTATTGAGTTTGGGGGAAAATCCCTAACACTTCCCTGTTCTGGCAATTATATTTTGATCTATAAAATTCCATTATGCATTTCAAAACAGAAGAAGAATTACCCCTTGATAAAGGAAACATAAATAATCTACGGCCCAGCACCTCCTCTCCTTCTCAGTTAAAAGACTACTTTTGCCATTTTTTTGCAGTTTGTCAGATTATATATATAAGACCAATAAAATACATAGACATTAATATAAATTGATGTAAGTTGTTTCACCAGTTCTAAAATAAATACTGACCTTTGCATGTTGGAAAATTAGGTGACCATCCAAAGTAATAGCATTGAACTGAATCTGGTCCAACTCTTTTAAGACTTTGTCTACAGGAAAATTCCAACACATCTCCAGCACTGTATTTTACTTTTCTTGGATAAACATCTAGATTTGCTTTTAAAACTGGAAGAAGACATTCTATATTGAAAATAAAATAAAAGTAAATAAATATATGTGAAATAATCACTGCAATATTAAATTTAATACATGCTATTAAATAGCAGGGGGCTTCATACACGGAGGCACTTACATTCTTACCTTCAAGAAAACCCCTACTTATTTACACCCAACAAATATGTGTAAACCCCTTTAGAGAAATTAGGGTTGAACAGCAAGGTAAAATTTTGTATGACAATCTCCTCAGGACTGAGGAGTCCCGAGCAATCATATAAAGTAAATTATTTCATTTATTTATTTAACAATAAAAGTTTAATAACTTTTATTTGTCTATAAAATGGCATATGAATAGTTTTCACAGATCACATGAAAATAAGTTTTTCAAGTAGTAACAATTAAAGTGCAACATATTTAATTAAATGATAGGTATGTTTAAAAAGTTAGTACCTGGAATGGTCCAAACAAGAATTACGTCTAGTACATTTTAAGTAGGAGGGAACATTAAAAAGCAAATAATTCCTAAATTTACAAATGGGGAACTGTATTTAGTATATGGACTTTTTTT